TCAGATATTGTCCAAGATTAACCTTCAGGGTGGATATAGCTCGCTCACACCGAGGACCTATCCACGTCATCATTTACCCAGAATGCTTTGTGTGTAAATAAAACGGCTCTGTCCATGTTAAAACATATTTTAAAAAATTTACAGAAATAAACAGCCTACAGTATTTTTAGTCTTTATTTTACAGTTAAAATATATATTTAATAAATAAAGTCTAATGTTACAACTAATTCTAGATCCCTTTAAGACTCATTCTGCTGCTGTATTTTCATTAATAAGTCTGAGTATAGCAACTATGAGCGAAGTAATTCTGAAAATGATTTATCTATTTTTATTGATTAGTACTGTATTTCCTCAACAACTTTGACAACTCTTTGGTAATAATACCTAAAAACAGATTTTTGTTTTAAGTTAAACGCTGCTGATTTGGTGCTCTTTCTCTCTGGTCCTACATGTGTGTCGTCTCTGAATGTGGTATGTTCACATATAGTGTTCTGTTTCTTACATCAAACCAGCACGTCAGAAGTAAACTAAAGTAGTAACTAGGAGGCACTGCAAACTAGAATAAGCTGCTAACATCTGTATTGCTCACCTTAGGCTACAGCTTTTCCCCTGTAGGTTACCATCTCAGTCCCTTTTTAAGAACTTTTCATAATCTGATGGTTACATAATCTGATGGTTACAGATGATATTTTGACTTCAGTTGTAGCAGGTGTAGTGACATGTGGATCAGCTTCAGTATAAACGTGTTGCTGATCCACTGCACCAGTTTCATCCTCGTATCTAATAAAGACAGGCACTTCAAGTACAAATATTCAGAATTCATCTGCAATAATTTGATTTATTTTCGCCCAACAATGTCTCCACCCTTACACACAGCACATAAAAAATAAAAATAAAAATTTACAGCTGTTTAGGCTTTCACAAATTCTCATCTTATTTGAACAAATCTACCAGTAGTTTGATCATGTTTGGTGTGGAACCACGCAGGCACTGTCAGCTGTACCAYTCATATTTTTATTTTTGATGGTTGGATTTATATTTGCATCACAGATAATCAGAGTATTTTCTCACTTTCACGTCTGTGAGCTGCAGAGCTGCTTTGTCCTCTCTGAGCAGATGGAAAACACATCTGCTTCCACCTCCAGTGGAAATATCTGCCTCWAAATGTGAAGCAAACTCTAAACTGTGATGCAGGCTGCAGATGGAGCAGGTGTGCAGATTCACAGTCTGTTGTTTAATGTTGCTGCTGGACGATAAAATCTTGTTTCGAGAAATCACTGATTGGAAAACGGTTTTTGGTCAAATTTTGTAAATAAAGTTCTGCCCAGTCTGTTAATGCTCAGTGTACTGTAAAATGTAGRGAATCACTCTCAGCTTAGCTCAGTACTGGTGGAAATGACTGWGTTGTAGCCATTTTTGTGTTTCCTAAAGTGGATTAGCACAATCCAAATCATTAATGGGRTAAACTAATATGTGATACATTTTACTAACTAGTTTAGTTATCCTGTATCAGTATAATCGGTAAATGAGCTTCTCTCCTAGTTTAACAATAATCACTGGTCCTGATGCATCTCAGTAATCCAGGTAGAAAA